CTTAAGGCTGATTTATACTTCTGCGTCGGACCTACGCCGTAGCCTTTACGCCGTAGGCTATGCGTCAGTTTTCATTTATACTTCTGCGTCGTTGTCCGCGTCAATGTGCAGTACACATGCAAACCGCTAGTCTGCATGTTGCTGGTGTAACCCGCAGTAGTACCACGGCAAAAGCCGAAGAAGAAGCAGCTCGTCGGAGAAGCATTATAGCCATGATGGCGGCAAATAAATATCAAATCATTATTTAAAACTACAAAAAGGAGACAACAACGGAACAGGAGATTATGGCATCTGCACAAGGACTTGTACCACGGCAGATCAACATTGTTTGTTGCGGACAACTACTGATGAATAATGCTATGTAGTATAATAAATGATAAGACACTTGTTCTTTGCTTTGTTTTATATAAGAAGGTGTAACATTAAAATATATTAAAGTGCACATAAACACACACAAAACTCTAGTACATATGGAGGGAGGGGTTCTTGCAGACCAATCACAGCGCTTGCGGTCTGCATAGAATTGACGTGCTGTTAGATTTTTGGAGAGGTGCACGTCAGGCTACGGCGTATGGGTGTGCGTCTATGCGTAGGCTACGGCGTAGGTTCGACGCAGAAGTATAAATCAGCCTTTAGTGTGTGTGTTAGGGTTAGGTTACAGTATTTATAACTGGCTGTATATTTAAAAAAAAAATGGACGTCTATGCAATGTCCCCATTTAGATAGAGAAGTAAACGTGTGTGCACCTGCAGTGAACTGAAGATGCGTCCCAGAGAGCCAAGAAAGACCAGGAAAACAGAGAGCGCAGACAACTGTCCGGTGTGTCCCCATCTGAAGTTACTTCTTGCCTGGAAAAACTAAACATAAAATACACAAGTACTTTTTTGTTTGTTTTTGTAAAGAAAATGTACAGACACGCATTCTCTATACATATTTATTTGGAGGTACAAAGACCTGTCTCACCCTGCCAGCAATAACCAGCAGCACATTCCACTCATGCAGGGTCCAAACCACTGACACAGGAGTCAAAGGTGAGGCAAGGAGGAACATAAAGCCACAGTATAGAGCAAGAAAACTGACACCTGCATGAAAAATCCCAAACAAACATTCAAATAGGAACATTTACATTACGAAACAATCACATTTTTCTTTTTCTAACCTTTTATGGTTTTCCCTTGGTAGTGCGGGACAAGCAAAGCCAGGACAGCAATCTGGATCAATGCAAACAAACATTCCCCCCAGGCACTGCAGACACACACACACACACACACACACACACAAATTCATGACATATTCCTCTACACAGAATATTATATATATATATAATATATATATATATACAGCAAGCGCTGTTTTACCCAATGGGAAATTTTTGAGCGCAGCAGAAAGCTGCATGAGTAGAGATGGCCAACATTTCCAGAAAAATGGAGGCCATACACAGTCCATTAGAACTTCCAGACCAAAGAACTTTCCAGATCTGAGGGAGTGGAGCTGTGGGAAGAAGGAGATTCACACACACACACACACTATGAAACACAGTTGCACAAGATATAAAGCAGAGAAAACATAAAGTAATAACTTCAACTTTGGAGGACATGAAATATGATGTAAAATAGACTACTTACCAATAACAATTCCCACCAAAATCAATATTCCCATAGTTTTACTTAAGACAATCTTCAGACAGGGAACTAGAGACCAATACGGAAAAACAGTAAAAACAGTAACTGTAATGTTTACAAGCACACTGGATACTGAATGATAGTCAGCTGTGGCTAACATTAAACACATTAAACACCAGTCATCTGTAAATTTAATGTGTTAAATTGATGTTAAATGTATTGTCCACTGTAAAATTTAATTGTTTTGGAGGACATGTTTTTACAAACCAGGGTATGTTTGAATATATTTGCATATGTTTATTCAAGATAACGCTGTCTCTCACCGTGCATAAAGTTGAAGTAAAGGAAAAACTGGTCATAACATCTTTCTGGCATGAAGAAAGTTAGCAAAAATTCTTTCAAACGAGACATCCTCCCTTCATCAGACGTGTCCATAGTTTTTGTATTCCTGTTCGTGTTATCGTGTACCTACGCAATTCTGAAGCACGGAAAATAATGTCAATTAAACTTACTGCTTGACAGCAATAAATAACCAATTACAGGGTTAAACTAGTCATTCGAAATTAAATGCGAGACTTTTGGTCGTCTTTTTTCTTACGTATAAGCAAAACATTTCTGAACTTTAAACCAATGACCTGTCAAAACATGTCTTATTTTGTAATTTCCAGAAAAATGTCTCTAGTTTGACAACAAAGCAAGCCTCACCAATGATGTTTAAGTTTAGAGGGTCGTCTCTGGTTAGTCACTGCAACAGCTGCCTAATGATGTTTTCACCGCTACCGAAATGAGAGCCCCATTTTCCTGGAAGTGGTTTAATTAAGGTAAATGATCTGAATTACTTTTCGGTTTTCACAAATTAGACGTTTTGTATTTACATAAATTTACGCAAATGTTTGTCAAACGCCTTGCCATCAGCACTGGGGGGCGGAGGGATAAAATAGAGGAAAATGTGTTTCTACAGGGGGCGCTCGAGGCTCATACAGCCGATATAATAAATAAAATATAATAAATAAAACGATATAAAAAACCACATGCACTTCCTGACTAAACACTTTTTAAATTATTGTTAAATAATAAAGCATGGAATTATCTTAAATCTTTCAGAGATCTGTATTATTCGTCATAAAGAATAATAAGTAGTAGAACATAAACTGGACAAATTAAATAATCCAATCAGAATTTATAGTCACCGTTCCCATTGTGAAGTCCCATCTTTTTTTAAGTTAAATACAGTTTAAATAGTTTATCTTTCAGAACGATTTCTTTGACTGTGATTCTGTACTTCTGGTGTCATATTTTATTCAATCTGAGGGTACTAAATTGATGTGATGCATTTTAAAGACAATATAAAATAATGAAATAATATGCATTTAAAATAATATTTAAAATGAATAATACTTTAAAAAACAATTGTATTTTATACAAAAAAAATTATTTTGTAAAAAAAAATAGATGACTGTTTATCCCATAAGGCTTCTACTCTTCGATGGCTCCTTTACATCATTTTCAGTTTTTCACTGTACTATAATTACAGCTGCATTAAGTTTCTAGGCATTACCCAAAAAGTAATACACTCAGTGAGGCATTATCTTACCTAGCATTCTAAACTCATATGTCAGTTTGTTTTCATTTATCAGTAAATGTACATCATCTGTAGATTTCACATGTTTCTAAGATGTGCATGTTTGGCTTGATGATATGAACCTTTTATAATGTTGTAAAGACAAGATTTATAAATACAACATTTATTTTTGGGTGTATGCATATTATCAACTGGAGATCGAGCGACAGAATTTAAACATCAATAAAGTTCCTTTCCAAAAAAAACTTTGCTCTGTAGTTCAACCTATGCTGTCATTGAACCATTTTTCACGACCACAGGAAGAACGCTTCAAAATGTAACGATAGTGACATCCAGCTTATATATTGAAAATGAGGAAGCAAAGAGAAGTAAGCTTATGTCTTAAAAAAAAAAGAGGCTTTCAGACAATTCGAAGAAATAACAGACACTAACCATTAATGCTTTCTTACATTCACACAAGATACACTTTTGCATGTACACAAGCCTATTTTGCTTAATTAGAAAGAAGGCCTAAGTATGCTTTTAGAATTGAATTTACTTTCTGAACTGACAACAACACAAAGTTACGTTTGAGAGGAAACATCATTAGGATAATGTGACGTCATGCTAATCTGATTTGTGTGAATTGTGTTTGGGTCCATTTCATTTGACAAACACGTTTTTGTCCAAGTTTTGGCTGATAGGGTGTGTCAGTCGGCATGTTTTAGTACACTAGGATTAGGGGTTAGGCAGACAGGAAAAGCCTTTAAAGGAGACAAGTTCTTGCAGTGTTTCCATAAACCATGACTGCACCTCTTCTCAAACATAAACTCTGCTGAACATAACTTTCCAGATCTGAGGGAGTGGAGCTGTGGGAAGAAGGAGATTCACACACACACACACACTATGAAACACAGTTGCACAAGATATAAAGCAGAGAAAACATAAAGTAATAACTTCAACTTTGGAGGACATGAAATATGATGTAAAATAGACTACTTACCAATAACAATTCCCACCAAAATCAATATTCCCATAGTTTTACTTAAGACAATCTTCAGACAGGGAACTAGAGACCAATACGGAAAAACAGTAAAGACATATTCTGTAATGTTTACAAGCACACTGGATACTGAATGATAGTCAGCTGTGGCTAACATTAAACATCATTACAACCAGTCATCTGTAAATTTAATGTGTTAAATTGATGTTAAATGTATTGTCCACTGTAAAATTTAATTGTTTTGGAGGACATGTTTTTACAAACCAGGGTATGTTTGAATATATTTGCATATGTTTATTCAAGATAACGCTGTCTCTCACCGTGCATAAAGTTGAAGTAAAGGAAAAACTGGTCATAACATCTTTCTGGCATGAAGAAAGTTAGCAAAAATTCTTTCAAACGAGACATCCTCCCTTCATCAGACGTGTCCATAGTTTTTGTATTCCTGTTCGTGTTATCGTGTACCTACGCAATTCTGAAGCACGGAAAATAATGTCAATTAAACTTACTGCTTGACAGCAATAAATAACCAATTACAGGGTTAAACTAGTCATTCGAAATTAAATGCGAGACTTTTGGTCGTCTTTTTTCTTACGTATAAGCAAAACATTTCTGAACTTTAAACCAATGACCTGTCAAAACATGTCTTATTTTGTAATTTCCAGAAAAATGTCTCTAGTTTGACAACAAAGCAAGCCTCACCAATGATGTTTAAGTTTAGAGGGTCGTCTCTGGTTAGTCACTGCAACAGCTGCCTAATGATGTTTTCACCGCTACCGAAATGAGAGCCCCATTTTCCTGGAAGTGGTTTAATTAAGGTAAATGATCTGAATTACTTTTCGGTTTTCACAAATTAGACGTTTTGTATTTACATAAATTTACGCAAATGTTTGTCAAACGCCTTGCCATCAGCACTGGGGGGCGGAGGGATAAAATAGAGGAAAATGTGTTTCTACAGGGGGCGCTCGAGGCTCATACAGCCGATATAATAAATAAAATATAATAAATAAAACGATATAAAAAACCACATGCACTTCCTGACTAAACACTTTTTAAATTATTGTTAAATAATAAAGCATGGAATTATCTTAAATCTTTCAGAGATCTGTATTATTCGTCATAAAGAATAATAAGTAGTAGAACATAAACTGGACAAATTAAATAATCCAATCAGAATTTATAGTCACCGTTCCCATTGTGAAGTCCCATCTTTTTTTAAGTTAAATACAGTTTAAATAGTTTATCTTTCAGAACGATTTCTTTGACTGTGATTCTGTACTTCTGGTGTCATATTTTATTCAATCTGAGGGTACTAAATTGATGTGATGCATTTTAAAGACAATATAAAATAATGAAATAATATGCATTTAAAATAATATTTAAAATGAATAATACTTTAAAAAACAATTGTATTTTATACAAAAAAAATTATTTTGTAAAAAAAAATAGATGACTGTTTATCCCATAAGGCTTCTACTCTTCGATGGCTCCTTTACATCATTTTCAGTTTTTCACTGTACTATAATTACAGCTGCATTAAGTTTCTAGGCATTACCCAAAAAGTAATACACTCAGTGAGGCATTATCTTACCTAGCATTCTAAACTCATATGTCAGTTTGTTTTCATTTATCAGTAAATGTACATCATCTGTAGATTTCACATGTTTCTAAGATGTGCATGTTTGGCTTGATGATATGAACCTTTTATAATGTTGTAAAGACAAGATTTATAAATACAACATTTATTTTTGGGTGTATGCATATTATCAACTGGAGATCGAGCGACAGAATTTAAACATCAATAAAGTTCCTTTCCAAAAAAAACTTTGCTCTGTAGTTCAACCTATGCTGTCATTGAACCATTTTTCACGACCACAGGAAGAACGCTTCAAAATGTAACGATAGTGACATCCAGCTTATATATTGAAAATGAGGAAGCAAAGAGAAGTAAGCTTATGTCTTAAAAAAAAAAGAGGCTTTCAGACAATTCGAAGAAATAACAGACACTAACCATTAATGCTTTCTTACATTCACACAAGATACACTTTTGCATGTACACAAGCCTATTTTGCTTAATTAGAAAGAAGGCCTAAGTATGCTTTTAGAATTGAATTTACTTTCTGAACTGACAACAACACAAAGTTACGTTTGAGAGGAAACATCATTAGGATAATGTGACGTCATGCTAATCTGATTTGTGTGAATTGTGTTTGGGTCCATTTCATTTGACAAACACGTTTTTGTCCAAGTTTTGGCTGATAGGGTGTGTCAGTCGGCATGTTTTAGTACACTAGGATTAGGGGTTAGGCAGACAGGAAAAGCCTTTAAAGGAGACAAGTTCTTGCAGTGTTTCCATAAACCATGACTGCACCTCTTCTCAAACATAAACTCTGCTGAACATCAAAAACTAACTCGTACTGTGTGACAAACAAACATTTATTATAACTCCTTTAATGAAAATATTATAACGTGGGAAATTTCAGGTTTACTACAGCAGAATCAGTATATGTTAATAGACAAATAGACTGGACAGCAACTGTCGTTTAATAATTCCTCTTTTATACTGAGAAAGGAAACGGCACAGTTTTTTAGATAACGCTATTTGCTTTACAGTGTCACCGTCATGATGTTTTTCTCTCACTACAGAGACAGTCCAAAGTCCCACGGCGCATTTGATTTATAGCACCCTGTGCAAACATAATTTAGTGAATACAACACCCATCCCACACACACACTTCTCCACAGTTTGTCATTTATTTCGTGTCAGGTCTGACTCGGGCTGCACTGAATGGTTAAAAATGTACTGTAACAAGTGCTACGACAAACAGAGTGGTGTTTACAGATCCCAACAAAAATGAAATTAAATATGTATAAACATAAATGTGTAAATATGGGTTATAAGCTGTAGTTTTTAATGTTTGATGATGGTTATTGTAAAAGTTGTTTTGTTTATAAAACTGGCCTGTGTGAATTCCAGAGGGTTCTGGATTAAAAGGTTTATATGTACAAACAGGTAAAAAGGTTAACACTGTACATCTACAAGCAGCTAAGAAACAAGAGTAAATAAAACAATATAATTTTATATTGTATGATTTGGATAGAGATTCTCTGGACAGGGTGTGGTTACCTAAACTGGATTCCATGGGCTGGACTTATCTTAACTCAATAATAAATGACTAGCTGTGCTTATAAAAACCTCTGCACTCTGGCAGACAGACAACTTCAGGGTGTGTGTGCGACTCAGAGACCATAAGCAAACTTTTTGTCAAGCTCTTTTCATCTTGGAGCTTTTTACATTAAATAGTGTAGAAATTACAGCTGTTCTCTGACTTCAGGATTAACACTCACCTTGCAGCATGTGTACGGGAAAATGTGCGCTTTGCGTCGGGACAAGTCTGTACCCGCTGGCGGTCATCTCCATAATATGTAATATTATGCTGTTTTTTCCTGGCTGGGATGTAAAGTATGCACGGAATCAACAAATTACTGAGGAGGTCAAATACATGGGAGGACTAGTTGGAGGGGGGATTCTGGTAAGTCTGATTTTATTGAATTGTAAACTAAGTAATGTTGAACTATATAAAATTCTAATTCTATTTATGCACCGTATGACAATTTCTATTGTCTAGATATGATTCTAAGTTTAGTTTGGGGCTTGTCAGTCACATGTTTCTACGAATAAGCTGCCTTTGTAAGAATAGGCCAAGTCTTCATTTGATTTGGGAAAGGAATGTACAAAAAGATGTTTGCCTTGTTTTATGAGAAATCATGAGATTAAAAAAAAAATACTGATGTTTCATGGGCAACACCTATCTTTATGAGCCAAAGAGTGATTATACTAGAGAGGTATTACAGTAGTGTCACACCAAATGGGAATCAAAGTGAATCCACAGAGTGACCTTGAAACAAAAATGTACAGAATACATTTATTGTGTGTTAAAGTCAATCCAAACTCTGTCAAAGTGATGATAATCTAAAAGAATGGTCCTCTCTCTCCTCCAGGTGCTGATTCCAGCATTGCACATTCACCTGACTGGAAAGCAGGGTTGCTGTGCTAATCGCTGTGGGGTGAGTTTGCTCCAACCCTGACACCAACAGACACTTTATTTTTAGTCTGAAGTTTATAAATATCTATAATCCTTTAGAAATTCAGTTATGAAGACGACTGTCCACTGCCTCTTTACAAGCCCAGGAAAAAAAAGTGATGCATTTGTCACCTTTAAATAGCTTGATATGTACAAGTAAATCACGTTACCGACATCTGTTGTGAGATCAATGTTTTGTGATGGTGCTGCATGCTAAGTTAAGGAAGAACGTGTGTTAAAGTTGTGGACTGAATCTTCTCTTAGCAAACTAAGACAAATAAATGTATTTAGAATGTAACCGAATACACATGATGTGAAGAACATGTGCCTGTAAGCGTGAAGAACAGACCTGTCTGAAAATACACAGGCGTTCCTCTGTTTTGAGAAAATCTATAAAGATGTGACTCATGAGTCTGACATGTGGCTTGAAAAATGTACCCTCATCGCAAATATTTGCAGAACCTCAACTGAGCAGTGACAGATTTGTAGAAGTTCATTTTTCGGCCATGTTGTTGTGCGATTAGGAAATTGTTCATAAGATGTCTTCAATATGAACATGTGGGGAAATTTAGACACAACAATTCACAGTAATTGCATGATTGAATTAATTTCTTGTATATTATGTGCTTAAATTAAATGTGACCCTGGAGCACAAAACCAGTCTTAAGCCGCTTGGGTATATTTTTAGCAATAGCCAAAGAACATTGTATGGGTCAAAATTATCGATTTTTCTTTTATGCCAAAAATCATTAGGATATTAAGTAAAGATCATGTTCCATGAAAATATTTTGTAAATTTCCTACCGTAAATATATCAGAACTTAATTTTTGATTAGTAATATGCACTGCTAAGAACTTTAATTAATAATTTTCTCATTATTTTGATTTTTTTGCACCCTCAGATTCCAGATTTTCAAATAGTTGTATCTCGCCCAAATATTGTCCTATCCTAACAAACTATACATCAATGGAAAGCTTATTTATCCAGCCTTCAGATGATGTATAAACCTCAATTTAAAAAAATTGACCCTTATGACTGGTTTTGTGGTCCAGGGTCACAAATCATTCTGATGATGCATTTTCTTTTTTAGATGTTCCTGTCCATTTTATTTGCAGCAGTGGGTGTAGCTGGTGCCCTTTACAGTTTCATAGTGGCACTGATGGGTCTAATCAATGGGCCATACTGTAAACATTTCCTTATTATTTGGGGAACTCCCTTCAAAGACAGGTAAGAGATACACCTCAGCACTTTAGAGCACGTAATGACAATCCTTACTGTTTAGATATGTTTAAATGTGTTTTGTCTGTATCTCTCAGAGAAGAGAGTTACCTTAAGGACCGTAGCACGTGGGGAACCTGCATTGAGCCAAAGAATGTGGTGGAGTTTAATGTGGGTCTGTTCTCAACACTGCTGGTGACCAGCGCTCTGCAGCTCATTCTCTGTGCCATACAGATGATCAACGGCCTCTTCGGCTGCCTCTGTGGAACCTGCAAAGAGAAAGGGGTGAGAGACAGTTGAGAAACAAGAGTGGATAATGAGGAATGCAAAAGGAGTGGTGGCACAATCTAGTTCTGATACATCAGTGTGAAAAAATCATAATTTAAAATTAGTACAAAACATGTTCAAAACAATCTAACAATGGACCCTTTTCACAGACTGTCATTTTTTTAAATATCTTAATTCGAAAAAAATGTATGTAGGCTGCATTTATAAAACTTTACTTTGTATTATATTTCCTTTGCATTAAATTACCAAAAAAACTAGCCTAGTTAAGGCTGCTGAGAGTGTTGCTTTAAATTTGATATCGTTTTCTCTGCTGACTGCCGTTATCAGTCTCGTCGTTTTATAAAGTCGTGGAGTTTCTCTTTTGCCATTTGAACAAATGGGTACGCAAGAAATATATATCGATTTCCCAAGAAAAAGGTCCATTTACCTAGCAATAATACAAACACTGGATTCGTTTTACAATAATGTTAATAGTGAGTGAGGTCTTCTGATGTCATTTTCGCAACAAAAAGGTGAATATTTAAGAAATGTCATACCACTTAATGTCGAGATTTATCCAGAGAGACGCATTTTATCTGCAGCAATTTTAATACTTTACTCGGATATTCATTTTCACATCTGTTAATGCCAAAACTTTCATCTTTAATTCAATTCAATACGAGTATACAATTGAATTTGTACACTTAAAAACAGTATTATTACAGAACACCTAATGATTTCCTTTCTGTTCTCTACTGTCCTATCCAATAAATATAAACGTGATGAAAAAAAGCGTGCTTTTCTCTTACACTTTCTACTGTTATTTTGTAGCCGCTGTAATCCCTGACTGCTCCAGACGCCAGAGAAATCATATTCTCATAACTAGCATCTCATATAACCAGCGCCCTCTAGTGGAAGATGCTATCCGAACATTTTTATGAGTTTGTTTGTACTTTGTTTGCGTGCACTTCTTCAAATCTCGTTTTCACCTATTGATGTTTTGGCTTAATACTGTTTTTCTAGTAAAAGCTTATGTATAATGACTTCCAGTGAGAATATTTTAAAGGAAAATGGCTTTAATTAATGGCATAACACTTGTTTTGTATCTATCTGTATTTTTATAGTTTAGAAATGAAATAAACATACTAAAATATAAATAAAATCCAAACTGTTACAGTGTGGTTTGTGTGTTTTATCAGACTTTAATTCACATTTACACAATTTAATTCTCCCCAGAAATCTATGCTTATGCATCAAGTTAATTAAAATCTCTTGAACAACACTAAAATAAATCACATAGCTCAAAAAATGCAATCCTGGTTTTACAAAGTTATTCAGTTTGGTAGAGAGGTGGTGTTTAACTATACAAACCGAACTCTTTCAGATCAGAATCAAACTGCAGATTATTTACAGTCAGTACATTTCAAATGCGGTGATGTCACAAAATGTAATACTGCTATACTGTACTGCTGACTTCAAGTACATCATTTTTAAATCTAGATCTGAAATATGTATGTAGAGTCTGTCTGCAGTGTAAATGTTCTTTGGCAGAACGACAAGCATATGCTCACATACAAAAACATCCACATATAAATGGGTCACATTGACAATCTAAATTTTAAAAGGTTTAGTTCTTTTCAAACATTTAAAAAAAGTCGAGTGCATAAGACATTTTTATGACTCTCCACTACTTCTAGGTCACCAATCCAGTAACCAAATTTGAGGTTAATCACATAAACACAGATTTCCTTGTTAGAACTGAAGCACAGCATGCTCTGTGGAGCTCAACTTAGAAGCAAAGTTGTCTCAGGCTTTTGAACCCCACCGTATTTAAAAGTTGAAGAAAAACGTGAAATTATGAGTAAGGCATTCTCCCCCCTCACTTGAAATACTAAAACAAAACACAAACATACAAAGCTTACAGTTATGCTGATTAAACAAATGTAGTGTATTTCTAAAACTAGGGTTTGTTGGCAGTCAGATCATTCAAGTCTATAAGTATTCAAGAGAATAGCATTCAAAACTTAATTGCATAGTTATAGTTCATTCAACAGGACTTTGCGAATTATGAAACTGGCAAAGAATAGCCTGAAAATTGCACGTATATAGAGTACATGTTTCCAATTGTAGGCATGAAGGAGTGATGGGACTAATGTTACTAGCACAACGGATACATTTTTAGACCGTCAGACCAAGGTTTAGCCACATACACCCTAACATAAAAAAAAATATTGGTAACACTTTACAGTAAAGTTCAATTTGTTAACATTATGCTGTAAATGTTTACATATGCTACTAAAATTAACATTTTATGTTGCATACATTTACATTAATGTATTATGAACAAATGAATTAACAATAGTATATTTATACATTAACCTAGATTAATAAATGCTTTAAGAACTATTGTTCAGCGATAGTTCATAATACCCGATGCATTAACTAAACAAGTATAACCTAGCGTTAGTGTGTGCAAACCATGGCATGTTGAATGAAATACTGTAGACTGGCCATAGTGAATTAGAGCTAATTCATTTAAAAATGCTAAAAATCCAACCAGAGAACAAAAGGGTGCTGTTATAGGGTCAGCTGTCAAACTGTTCCATCATGATTTTGCGGCTGGCTTCATAACCTAAGAACAGAGCACCGTTGGCTGGAAACGTACGGATCATTGTGGGAGTCAGACCGGAATATAAAGCCCTTACACCTGAAAATGAGACAAAAACAGGGCTTTCGTGTAATGTTCATTTACAATTTTTATACACAATACAATTTGGCATAGAAAAACAGATCTTTCTCATACCTTCCGTTCTGAAGATATGAATGAAAGTCTTGAAGAAGCCTGACTGCTTGCCTGTCATCGACATGACCTGTATTCTGGATTTAACACAGTCCATGGGGTAAACCACAAGCCAGAGACAAGCTCCCCCAAGACCTCCACTGAACACAATAGGGGCTACACCTACAAAACACAGACACACCAACCTATTAAAGCTGACATTAATTACCATGAACGTCGCACACCTGAGAATATACAGCAAGCACGTTACAAACATGAGCAAAGTAATGCAAACACAGGAAACCGGAGTACTACTAGAAAAACTAAAACAAATACAGAACCTACATTACCGTTCATAAGTCTGAGGGCGGTAAGATTTTTAATGCTTTTGAAAACTTTTTGAAAAAGTCTCTTATGCTGACCAAGGCTGCATTTATTAGATCAAAAATTGAGTAAATGGTAATATTATGAAAAACTCGTAACTATTATAGTGTTTTCTATTTTAATATATTTTCAAATGTAATTTATTCCAGTGATGGCAAAGCTGATGAAAACTGATGAACAGAAAAAGTAGAGCATTTATTTGAAATACTTTTTCTGTAACAAGATAAAAGCCTTTACTGTCACATTTGATCAATTTAATACATCGTCACAGAATAAAAGTTCTAAATAAATCTTTTTGACCCCAAACTTTTAATGGGTAAAATCCTGACTTTTTACCTGAAAGAAGGGACTTCTAAAGATATGTGTCTCTGTCGCTATCAACTGAGCAAACTGAACGACCGGCTATATTTAAAACAAAGAGTTCATAGATTACTGACTGATTTTAAATGTTTGTCCTTGTCCTCCTAATGACTGATTCATGTACGCCTTTTCAATAATAACACAACAGAAAAAAAAATAGCAGACCGATCAATAAATGAGAAACAAAGTATGCTGTTAGTCATTATGTTGTCAATACCGTTTAATCATTTTAAAGATAACATGTAGAAACTGTAACTGTTTCCATACCTATGTCATCCTTGCCACAGTGCATGTACTCAGCAAAGAGAGAGCGACAGAGCTCATATGCTCCAAAGAAACAGAAATATCCAGGCACCTCACGGGCAATTGTGGTGGTTAAACCCTGGAAGAACCCTGCAGGACCATCATTATGCATAATGGACTTCATCACTGACCAAACTGTGCTGAAAAACACAAACATGCATAACGAGAAAAGAGGTAAATGATATCAGGAGTAATACTAGCAAATAAAAGTAAATAAAAACGTGCACAGTATCCACAGAAAGGACGGCTCAATCTTTACTTCTGACTGTGGGCGATCTTGCCGGACGCGGCCATCTCATGCATGGCCTGCAGTCGGCACTTCACCAGCTCAGTGGGACATAAGACCAGAGAGGAGAAAACAGAGGCCACGGAGCCTGCGCACGCTTTCTGCATGTCACTGAACAGACATAATCACACACATGGGAAAGAAGAGTTCATATAAAAAAAATAATAAAATACTAAAATTGTGATCATGATATGTATATACACATTACTATTCAAAAGTTCAGGGTCAGTAAGATTTTTTTTTTTTTTTTTAAAGAAACTAATACAAGGATACAGATTAATATAGATTAATCAGCAAAGACACATTAAAGGTGATCAAAAAGAGATTTATAAGGTTACAAAATAATGTCTATTAAAAAATGCCATTCTTTTGAAGTTTCTATTCAGCAAAGATTAGACATTTCCATCAAAGTTTCCACAAAAATATTAAGCAGCACAACTGTTTTCAACATTGATAATAATAGAAATGTTTCTTGAGCACCAAATCAGCATATTAGAATGACTTTTGAAGGATCGTGTGACACTGAAAACTGGGGTAACGGTTTCTGAAAATTCAGTTTTGCCATTACAGGAATAAATCCCATTTTAAAATATATTCAAATAGAAAACAGGTATTTTAAATAGAAATATTTCTGTTTTTCCAGTATATTAACCCCTTAACTGTCACCCCCCATTTTTTAAAATAGGCATGAAAGTGCACTATCCAAATTTAAATTGTTGTAATTTATGAACACTTTGGAATGCAGACCTAAAGTTGGTCTCTTTTTAAAGGAGAAAATTAGCGGATTATTGCAAGTGGAATTTTTTCAAAAAATTTAAGTATCAAAAAGTTATAGAAGTTTAAATTTACTGTAAATAAAATGCACTATACTAATTTTATTTTATATATAACATCCAAACTCCATTGAATTTTTTTAATGCATTTTTCTGTCACAAATCTCTAGATTTCTCTGTCAATATTACCATCTCAAAATAACCACCAAATATGGAATCCTGAGACTCAGACCTTTCCAATTATATGTTTTTTGTCAAGATTATAAAAAGGTTTGATTCTAAAAGACCGTAATGCATTTTGTTATATGACACTTGACACTGCCCACTAAGGGGGAGTAGACCGCCAAAAGATTTTAAAGTACCATTTCCATGGTAACGCAATGTCTGATTTCAAATTGGTTTTCACAGGATGAATCTTGGGCTTCTAAGCTTTCAAATGATATATAATTTATTATGATTACTAAAAGATTTGATAGAGAAAAAGGACAACAACAAAAAAAGAGCGCCAAGCGTCCCACAGGGACTTTACTACTGGGACGGTGACAGTTAAGGGGTTAATCAAATAAATGCAGCCTCTGTGATCTGATCAGAAAATTATTTTTAAAACACTAAAAACAAATCTTATTGACCGCCAAACTTTTTAACAGTGTTGTGTTGCATCGCAATATACACATTTTTAGGGGGAAAAAGACAAAAATATTTAGACAAAAATATCTAAAAAAAAAAAAGTATTTAATATTTAAAATAATATCTTACGGCATTTAAAATTCATGTTGAATATGTACAACCCAATGGAACAACTTTATCTGCAGAGAATGAATTATATATAAAAAAAAAAAACGAATCTACCTCTTCTGCATAACTTTTCAATTTAATAAATAAATAAATAAATAAGACTACTTTAGAAGCAAAACCCTTCCATCATGCATTTATTTTAGAGCTTCCAATAAATAATTGAAACTTTTTAGCAACTAATTATTAGATACTATTCAAACAGTAGAGCACGGCACTAGCAACTCCAAGGTCATGGCTTTGATTTTCAGGGAATGTGTGAACGGATAAATTGTATAACTTTAAAGGGTTAGTTCACGCAAAAATGAAAATTAGCCTGTGTTTTACTCACCCTCGAGGCATCCTAGGTGTATGCGACTTTCTTCTTTCAGACTAATCCAATCGGAGATATATTAAAAATTGTCCTGGCTCGTCTAAGCTCTATCATTGCAGAGGTGTTTCTGTTCAACAGTCCAAAACACGTTAAATAAAGTGCGCGCATCCGTAATAAAACGTGCCTCACATGGCTCCGGGGGGTGAATGAAGGCCTCCTGTAGCGAATCCATGCGTTTTTGTAAGATAAGTATCCATATTTCAAACGTAATAAACACTTTTCTATCACTTCCGCCTAATATAAGCCAAGAGGAGACTGGTTTCCCTTTGCTAAAGTAAATAAACTTTGCTTTCTTAAACAAACTTGTGAGACTAGCATATCTCAGAGGCGCGCGTGACACATACGTCCTACGTCATCCGCCGGAACGTTTCCACATACGACAGTCAGCAGAAGTGAGAGAAAAGTGTTTATTACATTTGAAATATGGATATTTTTCTTTAAAAAACGCATGGATTCGCTACAGGAGGCCTTTATTCATGCCCCGGAGCCGTGTGAGACACCTTTTATTACGGATGCGCACGCTTTATTTAACGTGTTTTGGACTGTTGAACAGAAACACCACTGCAATGACAGAGCTTAGAAGTGCCGGGACAATTTTTAACATAACTCTGATTGGATTCGTCTGAAAGAAGAAAGTCATATACACCTAGGATGCCTCGAGGGCGAGTAAAACACAGACTAATTTTCATTTTTGGGTGAACTAACCCTTTAACGCAATGCAAGTCGCTTTGGATAAAACCATCTACCAAAATGCATAAATGTAAATGTACTGTTCATAATACAGATAGAACTTGCCTGAGCGCAGCCCCTTTCTCCTGACCAGAGATGAAGCGAACCACCTCTTGGCAAAAGCCGTAGCACATGAAGAGCACAGAGTTCTCCGCGATGTTGGCCATGAGGGCCGGTGTGGTACCTTGATACAGCCCTCGAAGGCCCACCTGTCTGTATGTAGACACAAAGCAGTGCACAAAGCCTCTGTACAAAGTGGGGAATGTCTGCATTTTCACCTTAGCCGTGTCCAAAGGTTGACCGCTAAATACACAAGCTGTGCCCCCTAAAGAGGAAAGAGAAGCGGGAGAACAGAAAGAGAGATTACCTTTTTTTATTGTTAAAACAAATTGACTGTAGGAATGACATCGTTAGCCTTCAATCATCATTATATACATAAATTTGTCTGTGTATTGCTCTTACTTGATTTTCAAACTTTAATTGGCATGGTTTGAAATGACAGAAAATAAAATAAAGTTGCAGTACAAATTTGTTTAAGGGTTATAAAGCAATGATCTACAACAAAAATCCACAAACAGTATCACACACTACAAACATCCTCGCCCATCTATCAGCATGATCTAAGCCAGACAGAACAAGTCAGTGTGTGTGTGTGTGTGTGTGTGTGTGTGTGGTGTAGGGACTGCTGAGACAATGGGTCCCGACTGTGAAACCACAGGGGTAAGCAAAAACACACCGCTCAAAGGTCAGATAAGAGCTGACAAAAGAAAGGATTTACAATGCAGATGGTGCGAAATAAAGTGAATCCCCACTCTATCATCATAAGGCCCAGGAATATGTACCCGATTGTGCCCCAGAATGACCCTGAAGTAAGGTGAAGTTACCTATAGCACCAGCAGAGAGGTCTATTATTGCCTGAACCACAGGATGTGGTGCCATGATGAAAGGTGCCAAGCGCTCCAAAAAGTCCTAAATCAAAGATCTGTGCAAAAGATGAGACAGAGAGAAGAAAAAATGAGTTCATCATGATAAGTTTACTTAGTATTTTAGAAAGTAAACCATAAAACTGAACAAAACAAAGAAGGTAGGTATTTAACACTAAGAATTTGTTGTTGATTTAGTTACAGTACGTTTGAAGTATAACTAAATCGTTGTACATAACTGCGTAAAGTTACATAAGCAGACAGCATGGAGCAGAATCTCAAGTTTCATTTAGTAACAAAGTTCAGGGTGCCGACTGGAGAAAGTCACAAGCCACAATGACAGACCACGTGGGTTTGAAAAACTCACACAAAGCCATGCTCTTCAACCACAGCGATTATTTTCAGTAGAAACGCCTTTCTGATGCAACAATTTTTGCTGTTATGTGGCTGTCTTTTATGTGACGCAAAATAAAGTAAGACCAAAAACTGCTGGCTGCAGACAGACGAGCTCTTGCATCACCTGAACACTAAGAATAGCGAGATTGAACATCTTAAAAGTAAAACTGTGACAACGTAAAATTCACAATAAACATTCACCAAGCATGTCTACCTTTTTTCACGAAAGCGCTTACAACGAAAATATGTAGTGAGATGGATTGATTCATGCTGGCTCCTTACCGATCTGATACATTTGCGATCAGAGTCATGACCTCTCCAAAGGGGTCCGCAATCTCCGCATGTAAGAAGGGATGTAGACGAATTGTTCAAATGAGTCGAATCTTTTCAACGAATCGTTTCAACAAATCCCAAACGACTCGGTTACGAACATAACTCTCAGCCCGAGCAGTTCTCGACTCAGTGAACACTAAACAGACTCCGATGAACTCAATGAACCGTGAATATAGCACACTAGCACGGTATTCTTTCTACTTTTACCATGTGCTTCTATGGCAAACATTGTAACAGTAGTATGCTAGTAGTATACGGTTACGAATTCATCGAGGACTGAGCTGAAATATGGTGCAGAATAAACGATGGTTTTAATAAACGCTCACATTCAATTACAGTGAACAGCCTTACTGAAAAAACAATAAAAACGCATTGCTGAAACGCAGGTAAAATGCCACGCAGAGATGTCAAAGGCCACGTCGTGGCATTAAAGATTAAATTAATCATTTTTAAACGAACTGTTCTAAAGAACCAATTCGCATAAATGACTCGGACTTCCCATCACTAGCAGGGATGGAGGTTGACAGCGGACCCCTACCCTGGACCAGTTTATGAACGGTTCCCTTTTCATGTTGCAATCCGATTTAATTATCCTAAAGCAATGTATGTGATACAGACAGATTAAAACAGATAAAATCACTGAATGTCCAAACACTCGTAATAAGGGACAAATGATACGTAAGTTCTCTTTAGTCGATGCAAAAAGGCGCCCGGAACGTTTATACGTCTCAAGCAGGCGCCTGCCGGACAGTTGATTGTGCTGCACAGGGAAACGTGCATGGACGACATTGAGGTCTTTTGAGAGGGGTTAATCATGTATAGAAGATTGTTAATAAATATTTATCAGGTTCGACATGGATTCATTCATACGCAGAATACACGATTACCTTCCACAAAATGTAAAGAGAGGGAGAGTTTTGCTCCTGTTATCTGGTAAGTTACAGATTTAAGACACTGACAAGTGACAGCTCTGATCTGGTTGAATTATGTTTATGTGTCAGTTAAAAGTCTCAATCTGAAATGGAAATATCTCAGATATCAGAATAAAGTAGCACTTGATTAGCCTGCAGCATTTTCCATTTGCGTTTGGATTATGTGTTTGCAATGTATATTAAATATTTAAATCTCTTCCATCTTTATTTGACCCTCTAACTTTAGCACTCTCTATTCCAATTCTATTTTATCTATTTGTTTTTTATTTTAAAACACTTTACCCTCTATCTCTTGCACGCTATTCGTTTTCTAACGGTTTGATTTCTTTAAAAAAGGCCTCTAACACTAGCTTTCTCAGTTTCTTTTCTATTTTATCTATTATATAAATAACAAAAAATAAAATACCTAGCTACATGTACTGTGTTAGGCTAACCGAGTCATAGCACTTGCATATTATTGCTCTTGTTGATTTTGATTGCTTCTATTGTCCTCATTTATAAGTCGCTTTGGATAAAAGTGTCTGCTAAATGACTAAATGTAAATATACATTCCAGCCCATGTATTAATTCTATATTTGATTATGTAGACTCATTTGATCTAATCTCTTTATTTCAGGGCCCCATGTACAGCAAGGCCATTAGGAACCAGTAGCATCTCTTTTAATGAAAATAAAGAGAGCTCCACATCCCTGTCAGAAGACAAAGAAAAGAGACCAGAAGAGAATGAGGCGAAAGAAGAGGTTAACACTGATGGGCAGAAGAGCACCGAAATGAATGAGTGCACCGAAATTTCAAATGCAACATTGGCATCACAGTTAGAGACCGAAACAGTGGATAGACCTGAGGACAGCAAGCAGGTTGAAAAGACAAAAAGTGGCAAGGAGAGTCTTTTGGAGCTACTTGGGGCAATGAAGGTGGAGGTCACAACCGTACGCAAAATAAGACCCTCAAAGACACCACGAATGAGTGCGAGGGCCGACCAAGAGCCCATGGAAAGCACACACAGCATGTTCCAGCATGCCACAGCTGAAGGTTCACAGCAGCAGTGAGTTATACATATGTACATGCATCCACAAATTGGTAATGCTGAAACTAAAAGGCCTCCGATGACAGCAACTTTATATATGTATACACTAATAGCTAAATCACAAGTCTCAGATTAATAAATTAAGATTATGTGATACAATGTATGATTTAATACGTTTTTAATTTCTGACTAGCAAACAATGCATCCACTCTGAAGTGAAGTTTTTCTGTATTTTCTGTACTTTAGTGGGACCTTGAATCCAGCGCTGGTTGCTGCAGTCTCTGCCGCCGCATCCACACTGCCAAACCGACATCAGGCCGAGTCAGAGCTTCTTAAGCAGCTGAGGAAACATGAAGCCGTACCTGACACCCAGAGGAGAGCAGACGGACAGAACATAGGGTAGGGCTCAATTCATATGTCTGTTTCCTAAATGCTTCTTATTAAACTTAGTGTAAAGTTACATTTAAAAAAAATAATAATTTGAGCTTGAAATTTTGAATCAGAACATCATAGTTTGATCTTCCATTGAAACAACAGACTTCAGTTGATGTGTGCTGGACTTGTCCAATCATTTAATCTGCTTAAACCCGCCCCTTTCGTACAATTGACTACGGCTCGCATTCATATCTGCCGCCATTCAATCAACAAGCGATGGATGAGACCAAGTCTGTGACCTACATTTTCTTCCATAGTCTGTTTCACTTAGATGTACATCGCAATAAGAACGAAAAAATCTGTCGCCATTTCCGTGATTTTGATTGCATAAAAATGCTTGTTGTGAAAGTTGTTAATAAAACTATAGACCTTATGGTGTAAATGTGGAAATAAAGTGTAACATTGGTACATTTGTTGGAACAATTATGTGATATCATCTCAAAACTTTCAGACACATAATTGCAGATATGAAAGTCGGAAGGAGGACGAATGGCAGATCAAACGCCAGTCCTACCAGTCATATTCGTTTTGATGATGACGGAAAGGGATATACTCAAGACAGAGGCATTACCGGTGAACTTGATGCAGTCCGCAGAAGGTAAAAAACTTCCCTAAAATGTTCTTTTTAAATACATTTTCCCACTAAACTTGTGCATTGTTTTGTTTTAAAGGAGGAGTCCCTTCACTAGTAAGAGGTTGAACATCTTTACTGCAGGCATGGAGCAAGACACACTGTCAGATCTGGGTAAGGAAAAGTTCTGTTTTATGGTACAAACACCATTCAAGCTGGCACATTTGAGCATGTCCAAGTGAAACTGAGTGTATTTACTTACCCTGTCCCGTTCCCCGCACTGAATTTCAGGCCCTACTCTTTGGGACATTGATCTAGCTAATCAAATTGTCCAGGCAACAAATCAAACGCCTCGGAATGGCTTTGAGGAGATGATCCAGTGGACCAAAGATGGCAAACTTTGGCAATATCCAATCAACAATGAGGCTGGTGAGTTCCACTGCAAGAATAGGTAGCATCTAGCTTCAAGTTTTTAAATCCTGTACCTTATTTTAAACTTTTCTTCGCGCACATCGTGCAACTTTTTCAGGCCTGGAAGAGGAGGCGAGTGTGCCCTTCCATGAGCATGTGTTCCTGGAGAAGCACCTTGATGAATCATTCCCCCGGCAGGGTCCAGTCAGGCACTTCATGGAGCTTGTAATCACAGGCCTCGCAAAGAATCACCAACTCACGGTCCAACAGAAAAAAGAACATATTGACTGGTTCAGAGACTACTTCCGACAGAAAGATGATGTTCTGAAAGAGGCCGAGGCATAAGGATCAGCCAAAGACAGAAGATGCTTTCGGGTTTCAACTGTCCTGAAAGCCCTAGAACCAGCTAGTTAAGATCCTAACTGCAGTGATGATTAGCTAAACTTAATTAAGCAACTGGAAGTAATAACTGCATCCATTACCAGATCAAGAGACTTGATCATTGTTGTCGTTTCTTAGTAATATTCAACCTGCTTTCTGATTTTTGTGTTATTTACTAAAACATAACTATTTTTCAATAAAGTCTGGATGTTGTGTATGCTGCTCATAATTCAGTTTGTTGCTTTTGCTCACAATACATGTTCCAAAACAGCATGAAGAATTAATAACTCCAACTTTCAATTTCTATAAATTTAGCCACATACATACATACAGTAAACTCATAAAGTGATACACTATAGCAACTCTCAGCTGTTCCGATTGTTTTTATCATACCCCTATCACCAGCTCCAAACTGCTAAATGTATAGAGCTAGGCATTAAGGTATTATAAACATTAATGTTATCTGTAAAGATGCTTGGTAATAGCGTATATTATAAAAAGCACTATACAAATAAAACTTGACAGGGTTCCCACTCTTTTGAACACCAGATATCAGAATTTTAGTATATCATAGTCTTACTCCGCATATGTGGTTTTACGTAAGCCTCAACAACTAATGTGCAATGTTCAGGTCAACAGTATGTTGTTTATCACCTTTAAAAATATCCATCTTTGTGCAAAGGCAGGGGTGCCCAAACCTGTTCCTTGAGATCTACCTTCCTGCAAAGTTCAGCTCCACCCCTAATCAAACACCTTCACCAGATAAATAAAATCTTTAGAAACAATTGTTACAGATGGGCATGTTGGAGCAGGGTTGGCACTGAACTCAACAGGAAGGTAGTTCTCTAGGAACTGGATTGGGCATCTTATGTATTAGCCAAAAAACATTAAGCTGCAGGAAATTCAACATCAGACTGCTGGATGACAGAAATACATAGGTTGGAAAGAATTCAGCATTAAACTGCTGCGATACCATGGCCACATCACATGAATCAAAAGCAAGGTTACAAATGAGTCAGAATTTTTGGTAGGTTTTGTGACTGACCGAGCATTCAATAGTCTACTCTCTCAGAATCCATGTATCCGAAATGTAGGTACGTTCAAAGTGTGAGGGGAATCCTGCACGCAAACGTGCAAACTGCAATAAGCAGTATAGTATTTGATTTCACACAACGGAAGGCATCTGACAATTCCAGTTTTATTCAAAGTGTCTGATTACAAAGAATGTACATACGTGTTTTCTGAGCTACACAAACAAAACTTTTCAGGGAAGCCATTTATCAACACATGGAGCTCAACCAAACTCAGTTCGTTTCATCAAATGAAAGCTAGTCATCATACAGCATTCTACAAGGATCGTTTCACATGATACGAGTCTTTTAACAGTCACTTTCAAAAAAAGCTATTCAGACACTGATGTATAAACAACCACATGTCGAAAAATAATTCTAACCAAAGCTAAAAATCATATTTTCAAAATTATGGCAAACAAGAGAGCTTTTGTACAGGTTAAATGTATATACAAAAATGTAACGCTAATCTCAAAAAGCGCAGAGCACAGAATTCGAGACTTTATCTCTAAAGCACACCAAAGGGGGGAAAAAAAAAAATACTATAGAAGAAAAATAATACTTTGGTGATATTTGCGTTTTTTTTTTTTTTTTTTAAAGAGATTAGTTCAAACTGTTGTACAACAGGAGGTAAGAGAAGGCGAGGGAGTAAAGGAGCTCCATAGAAAGGCTCTACAGTGGACGACTTGCTTCAGCATACGCAATCTACAAAAAAGTAATATTAATGGATAATAGTTAAGTGACTGAATATTCAACAAAAATACAATTATGTATCATTAAGGTGCATGAAACTAGACTCACCATTTTGGGCTACCACCGGCGATAGCTAGTGGCTTGACGCTGATGAGGCACTTTATGCCGCAATGTTTGCAGGTTCTTGTACTTTGACATGATACTTTGACTCTTCTTGAAGACAGGCTTCTGATTGAAGGGTGGTCTTGGAATTAAAGTGCCCTTAGAGGACAAAGTTTTTTTTAAATGTGCATGGAAACAACAAACCAAATAAAGCCTACTACAAAGACTAGACAGTTAAATAATAATTGTGTATAACTGTTATTATTATTCAGTGTTGGGAATGAATAATAAAACTATTCAGTTCAAAAACAGTATACCAACAAGCATTGCTTACCATCAATGGTTTCCTAGTAACTCCATCAGGGGCTGATCCCCTCTTCACTCCAGCAGTTGGCTGGAAATTAGGCCTCTATGTATAGAGAAACGTGTTTCACTACAAATCACTATAACAAAAATTACTAACACATTGAAAATGTGATATAACACAAGACATGCTTTTACTTCTAAAGCACTCTTGATGAGTAAAATAGATCAACGTTTTAAGACTTTAATTACCTGAAATGATCCAGGCTTCCTCAGGGTTTTTTCTGGACTTGCAGAAGACCTACAAAAATTGTAAAGGGTTGCATTCAGCTAAATTGTTAAGATTTAGCAGCTGTAACAGAACGGGAATACAGTTCCTCACTTACCGTCTTTCTTTCTGTTCCTGTGAAGATCTAATAGGACTTTGTAGCTTGGTGAAGCGTTCATTCAGTGTTAAATTTCCATGAGATTCTGATTCCTCTGAAAGATCAAGAAAATTAAGAACAAAAAAAAGTTAAGAACGTTACATGATACTAGCATGCGGCTACAGAATAAATTATTTGCAAATCATTCAGACTTTTACCAGATTTGCTCTTGGGTGCCTTATTCCTCCAGGGTGTATTGTGCTTAGGGCTAGTGCTGGGTTTGTGCCCCGCCTCCCAATGGGAAACCACAACAAGATCACGTGAAAGTCGTCGGTCTATTGGTGAAGAGCTGAAAAGAAAGTCAACGAGGCATTTGAAAAAGTCATCCACATCATCTGGGCACTTAAGGAATAAATTCTAAACATCAAGCATTTAGAAAAAGCAGAAGGCATGCACAATGTAATCTGATTTCAAAGTTGAATAAGCTTGTGCCTCGTGATCTGAGGAGAGAAATGTTGCACTTCAAAACTAAATTACTCAAACATTCACAGTCCTCAAGAACCCAATTGTATTGTTGCAAATGCAGAAGGACCAATGATGGATTACTACATGGGTACTTACAGCAAAGCAAGCCCATCATCGCCATGCTTCAGTTTGAATTGGTAGATTAATTTTCCCTGATTCACCTTTGGCCTTTAGCAGCCTTCCTTTTGCTAACGTGAATAACTGATATAGGCAGACTGAATGAGTGGACTGAAGAACGCCGTGTAGAAATCATTTTACGCTCCAAAAAGTGAACAGACAGGCATGCGAGCGCTTCCTTTTTATCCAGACTTGACAAGCCAGACACATTCCTCTCAACCTATCCTTTCATACTTGATTAGATGTGTTGGGAGACTGCAAACGCTTCATGCTGGAACATGCATTTCATGGTATAAACACTGGTTTGCAGCTCTGGATTCTGCGATGGCATTGAGGTAAAGTTTCACTGAGAGGATCTTCCCAATACGAGACTGATTTCTCTAGAAATTTTTGGCCAGTTCTCTTTGAATAAACTGCAGAACCTTCAAACTCGGGTATCATATCCATCTTCACATAACTGGTAGGCGTTTAGAACTAAACTTGCTTGGATAGTTCTTCAGTTGCAGAACTTCTATTGAGGTCGACTATAAATTAATGCTTGACATTTTGGCAAATGTTTCATTAGGCACAACTGGATCAGGTCTTATCTTCAGCACAACTCCAACTTCCTGCCTTTTCAGCCAATGGTTTGGTTGTAAGATAACATGATCCCTTGCTTGTCGTCAATGCTGTAATGCCAAGGATAAAAGGCATTTAAGAGCCTAAATCTTTCATAAATACCACCCTTGTGATGATAAAGGACTGTAGTTACAAAGGAGGGATGTGACAAAAAAGAATGTCCATTTTGTTGATGTGGGTGCAGTTTCAAGGCATTCCTGAGGTTATTGGACATGGAGTTTCATTCTTTTGATCATGGTCATCTGATCCGATGCTGACCAAATCTTACATTAATTCTATCAAGGAATGGTAGTTCTTTCTCTTCTTGCAAACAAATCTGGTTTCCATTGAAAACGGAGTACAGCCCCAAAGTTGTGGTTTCTTCATCCAACCAATAAAGTTCTTCAAAGGGAACAATATCAAATGACAGGGTCTAAACGTCGTAACTGTAGAAATGGAATTCTTGTCCATTCTCTATGAAATCCATTCACATTTCCATTTTCCAAGACATCCTATCCGATGTCCGTACGACGTAGCAGTGAGACTGAACTTTGCTCATTGTTACCGCAGTTAGTTGCATAATGAGGCAGAGCGTCCTTCTGCAAACACTTAAGATTAAGGCTTAAAAAGCACTTCCCTCCCTGGAAGACATTTTAAACATCTCTTCTGGGTCAGAGTCGATCTGGATGCATCATTGTAGAACAAATGGCATTTGACTTTTGGAACAAAAAGGACTGCGACTGTGAAACTTTTGAAAGACCACTTGCTCAGACTTATCTCTTATCACATTCTCTTGACAAGGACAGGATTAACATCATACTGTTGTCAATAATGAAGAGGAAAACAGGCATGATTTTCTTTATTCTCTCCTCATCCATCTCATCTGACAAGGTGACACCCCTTTGATGAAAGTTGTGCCATTGAAAAACAGGAAGCTTGACCTTCTAAACATCACGCGCCCATTGCCACAGAGTGAGGGGTGATACCATACCTGTGTGCGCTCACAGAGCGACGGGATTCCACCTTTGTTTCGGAGTCCCTCTCAGGCTCTGCAGTCTTGGAGTCTGTGTTGGGGGACGACTCTCTGGATGATGGCATCTTTTTGAGTGATAACTTGCGTGGTGGGACTCCTGGGGAATCTTTGGCATTCTTTGGTGCAGTCTGAGGCTTGGGCTTCTGGACTCTCTCCGAGATTCTTGGCCTCGGTGGAGGCAGTTTGAACCGGGCCACTGACTCCGCTCTAAACTTCCGTGCTTTTATCAATCGACTCTTATCTTGGAGGGACAAACCACGACCTCGGAAGCCCCTGAGAGGAAGAGGTCTCACTGACAATTCCCTGCGGAAGCGCTTTGGTGGCCCATGCTCCAAAGCGCTTGATGACGGTGGCCGTCTGAATTCTTGACTCTTCCTCTTCATTGGCCATCCAAAGGGCCTTTCCTGAAGACGAAAAGGAGGATACGGTCTGAGCGATGATCCAGATGGGGGTGGGCCTGGTCTTCGTGCCGGCGATCTGTAAGGGGGCCGAGTATGTGAACTTCCCCCTCCTCTATGTGCCCATTCCATGCTGGGGCGCCGGGACTCCCTTCCAAGCTCTCCATGCGGCGCACGATGATCTCTCTCTGCAGACCACCTACATATCCATTACAAACAATACAAACATGTTGGTTATAATGCCAGTTTGTGCTGCTTGAGAAAGCTCTTGTGGAAGCTCTTAACTTCTATCAATTTAGATCCAGCCCCAGGCTGCTGAATGCCATATCACTTCTGTGCCAGTATAACCATAAGGGAAAATAGCCTCAAATGGTTTTACATTTTCTCCAGTTTCACTTTATGGGCTTTATCATTAGATCCTGCGGTACTTTACACTGACAGAAAGCTGAAGGAAGCTGGGATTTACTCTCACCACCCTGCAGTGTACTGGACTTTGCATTCTAACACATAACTGTATTTTTACTTTACCCAGCCTGCACAGCTTCATTCTTGTACCTCTCTGGATATGAACTCCTTCCATGAAACTCTCTGGGTTTTCTTTGGGGTGGGCCGGAAAGCCTCAAATCCCCACCGGGGGGGTGAGGGTAACCTCCTGGGCCATTCCAGTGGTGCCTGCCAAGTGCTGGTCGGCCAAAGGGCCTGGGCCTCTCCCGAGGAGAGGGGCACCAGCTTCTGTCATGCTCCTGAGGGCTTGGGCGTCGCTGTGGACCTCTGAAGGAACTATGTGGGAAAGGAATCCGCCTGTCTGATGGAGGGCCGTGGAAATGGCGAGATGGAGATGTGTGGCTAAGGTGGTTTTCGTGGAAAAGTGGTGCTCTGTGGCTAGGCGGTCCATGTATAGGACCATGTGGGGACTGCCTGTGCTGGACTGGGGGAGGGCGGCTTGAGCGAGGCGGAGAAGGCCTCCTGCGGCCCCGCTGTGAATCCTGTGAGCTGGGATACGGATGGAAGTTATCCTGGTGCTGCATCCACGGTCCATGTGGCCGTTCTCTGCGTTCACCCATGAGCGAGGGCCTCTTGGGGTATGGCTGGGGTCCACTGCTGTTGTTATCTCTCCAACTTGGAGGGGCTTTTCCAGGAGGTCCTCTAAAACCTCTCTGGCTTCTTGAAGGGGGGCCAAATCGCCCTTCATGATTCATGCTGCTGTAGTTGTCCGAGAATGGCCTGTATTAAAAACAAATGTAAATTTTGAGCCGCTGATCACTATGCAGATACATCAGAATTAAATATTATATCTACAGCATTGTAGTACCTGTGTTTGGAACGAGGAGATCCTGAGTGTTGTCTCACCATTTTTCAGCTTTTAAACCTATCTTAAGTGAAATAAAAAATGACATGAAATTTTACTCTTCCACAATAATGACAGAACAGGACTGACATAAAAACAGCAAAATAAAAAGGAAAACAGAAAGAAACGTCTAAAAATCTGAAAGTAAAAGACTCGCAGTGCAATGCCAACTAGTTCCGGTATTGTTCTTTGCATAACAAATCTAGGAAATAAAAAAGAAAGCCAAGCGATCCATCTCAGCATTTGTCATTCATGCCAATCTGAAATAATGCTCAAAAATTACATGCTACACTCTATCCCAGAGCCATTTTAATGTGTTTTATTAAAATTGTCTTTTTTAATTTAGAAAATATATTTTAAAACCCTTTTAACAAATACTAGTAAAGCATGCGGCTGTCCATGTCATCACACGCCAAACTACAAGGAATCGATATAAAACCACAGAACGCGTTTTAATCCCACGATACTTTGCCCTGTCAGTCGTGTTGCAGGGACAAATAATCAAATGAACACTCAAAATGCAATGTTTTACTTGTTTCACATTGCATTGTTTTGATTGTTTCACATATCGTGCTGAAATAAATGATCGTCCTTGATTTAATTATGTGGAAATTAAGCAAATTAAGACGAGGTCGACGACACCACATTCCTGGCCTAACGTTACATGAACGCGTGTTTGAGGGCCGACAAGGCCTTGAGTTTCACATTCAGAAGACTAATGCGAAACAAACATAATAACACGTTTCATTCATAATATTACACGTGTAATATACAACTAAGGTTTTAAAACAACAGATGCAATATTAAGTTGAATACAAAAACACATCACAATTTATATAACCAGCGTCTTCCGCTTTCACCGTCAATGCGAAACAAATTTTTAAATACAGTCTAAATAACATCATGCAACAGTATTAGTTACCACTTTTGCTTAAGTTTATATATCTATATGTTTAATTTCGACAAAGTTGACCGGCTGAGTTGTTCTGACATACCCAAGATGGTCCGATACGAAAACAGATACCCAAATCTAGCTCATCAGCAAACGCTTAGCCGTGATAGCTAGCTAACAACCGTCTTCCGTTATACGACGTTCCACATCTGACCGAAGATGAACCGTATATGCTTTCAAATAAAAAAAACCCGTCACTATCGTAGTTACATCAAAGTCGTTCCGTCGAAAAATACGCGTTGTCTGTGAAATTACATTCAGACGAACCGAACAGCTGCAGCCGTGGTGACGTCACCAGAGGGGGCGTGTTCACGTCGGGACTGGAACTGGCTGCGCCCACGTTGTTGCTTTGCTTTGTTAGTATTTTGTATCATTTTGTAAACCTATTATTTATTATATTCAGCCATTCAAAAACAATGGTTAAACGGGAAGGATAAAAATATCACATTGAAGTTAAAACAGTGCAAAAAGGCATGGTGATCACTGATCACAACCTGAGAAAGACATTTGTCACTCACTGCTCAAGACTGAAACCACAATGACATAAAAGAGAGACATTTGTCAAGCGAAACCACCTTTTTACATAAGAAAAAAAAATCTTTTCTCTTTGTTATCCCAGACCAACACATAAAATAAGCTACTTGGTTAATATAATATTACATGCCCACATTCCACTTGTCGTTGGCCTAGAGGTTATTATTTGACTACACAGACTGTGGTAAGTATATGTGGTATGAAGATGTACTGTTATTGGATACTAGAATGATGTGAACTGAATTTAGTGAGTGAAAATGAAATTCACATTTCTCTCTTGTTCCTTGTATACTGCATAATTTAAAAGTTTAGTTCACCAAATAAGAAAAATCTGTCATCATTTACTCACTTTCATGTCATTTCAAACCTGTATGACTTTTGTTAATATTTGAAACACAAATTAAGATATTTATAATGAAACTTAAGTTTTCTGTAGTTGTATGAAAGTTCCCGCATCCAATGTTTTGAACATCCCAAAAGGTCATTAAATAATTAACTAACAAATCCATATCAGTCGAACTGTTTAATGTGTGTGTGTGTGTGTGTGTGTGTGTACACATAAGTACACTCTATCCAAGAACCTTTTTCAATGTTTTATTTAAAAATGGTCTATTTAACAACACAATAACTTGTAAAGCATGCCGCTGTCTAACCTGATCAATACATTTCTATTGAGATCATCACACATTACAAAGGCATATGTATATATTATGTCTGTTATTCATGAGATGAAATAGTCTAGCCTAAACTACTGACTTCTGACTGTTCTTTCACGCTTTTCATTCATAATATTACACGTGTAATATACAACTAAGGTTTTAAAACAACAGATGCAATATTAAGTTGAATACAAAAACACATCACAATTTATATAAACAGCGTCTTCCGCTTTCACCGTCAATGCGAAACTACGACAAAGCGAAACAAATTTTTAAATACAGTCTAAATAACATCATGCAACAGTATTAGTTACCACTTTTGCTTAAGTTTATATATCTATATGTTTAATTTCGACAAAGTTGACCGGCTGAGTTGTTCTGACATACCCAAGATGGTCCGATACGAAAACAGATACCCAAATCTAGCTCATCAGCAAACGCTTAGCCGTGATAGCTAGCTAACAACCGTCTTCCGTTATACGACGTTCCACATCTGACCGAAGATGAACCGTATATGCTTTCAAATAAAAAAAACCCGTCACTATCGTAGTTACATCAAAGTCGTTCCGTCGAAAAATACGCGTTGTCTGTGAAATTACATTCAGACGAACCGAACAGCTGCAGCCGTGGTGACGTCACCAGAGGGGGCGTGTTCACGTCGGGACTGGAACTGGCTGCGCCCACGTTGTTGCTTTGCTTTGTTAGTATTTTGTATCATTTTGTAAACCTATTATTTATTATATTCAGCCATTCAAAAACAATGGTTAAACGGGAAGGATAAAAATATCACATTGAAGTTAAAACAGTGCAAAAAGGCATGGTGATCACTGATCACAACCTGAGAAAGACATTTGTCACTCACTGCTCAAGACTGAAACCACAATGACATAAAAGAGAGACATTTGTCAAGCGAAACCACCTTTTTACATAAGAAAAAAAAATCTTTTCTCTTTGTTATCCCAGACCAACACATAAAATAAGCTACTTGGTTAATATAATATTACATGCCCACATTCCACTTGTCGTTGGCCTAGAGGTTATTATTTGACTACACAGACTGTGGTAAGTATATGTGGTATGAAGATGTACTGTTATTGGATACTAGAATGATGTGAACTGAATTTAGTGAGTGAAAATGAAATTCACATTTCTCTCTTGTTCCTTGTATACTGCATAATTTAAAAGTTTAGTTCACCAAATAAGAAAAATCTGTCATCATTTACTCACTTTCATGTCATTTCAAACCTGTATGACTTTTGTTAATATTTGAAACACAAATTAAGATATTTATAATGAAACTTAAGTTTTCTGTAGTTGTATGAAAGTTCCCGCATCCAATGTTTTGAACATCCCAAAAGGTCATTAAATAATTAACTAACAAATCCATATCAGTCGAACTGTTTAATGTGTGTGTGTGTGTGTGTGTGTGTGTACACATAAGTACACTCTATCCAAGAACCTTTTTCAATGTTTTATTTAAAAATGGTCTATTTAACAACACAATAACTTGTAAAGCATGCCGCTGTCTAACCTGATCAATACATTTCTATTGAGATCATCACACATTACAAAGGCATATGTATATATTATGTCTGTTATTCATGAGATGAAATAGTCTAGCCTAAACTACTGACTTCTGACTGTTCTTTCACGCTCTCTCTTAAACACCCTCTTTCTTACAGTAAATGCCATAAACACAGGTGCACGTTTGCTTAGGCAGTTAGTTAAAAGTAGTTTTGCTTGTGTTAGTAAAAATAGACCTGTCAAAACTCTCACTACAAAAACCTCAGTGTACACCCATCCAATAGACAATAATAACTAATGATGGAAACTACCTCCATTATAAATGAGAAATCAGACTTTTATCCTCACTTCGCATTGCCATATGTTACGCTGACAGATCTCAGATATGAATCCTAAGCCTGGGTTTTTTAGTACGTAACAGCTCACATGACATTTGTGGATGAGGTGAACCATAAAAATACAGAAGTTCTTGATAAAAATAGAACAAGTTTCAGTTCATTGGGTTACATTTTTAGACATTGTTCTTTTGACTTTGTCTTTCGACTTTTCATTACTCTTGCCCTTTATCTCTCACTCTTTCCATAAATGACACGAGAACGGGATCAGTTAAATGATGTGCTGCTTGTGTAGTCAAAAAGAGATGTGTTTGCATACAGTGTGTTTGGAACAGATGTGAGATGCTGATGATCAGAATTTCCCTGCGGCTAATCATTTGGTTAACAAGCTTTTGTCTTCTAACCAAGAGCTCCACATATAGTCAATTGCTTCAATATCTGTGCATGGCCTTTGTAAGTTACTGAGGGGGAAATGGCAGGAAGTTATGAAGCAAGTCAGTCAACTGTATATGCAGTAGAGCCAATTGATCAGGCAGCAGTTACATTTAAGAACTGTCTGGAGCAGGACTGACATCAACAAAGACCATTGCATTAAGGTAGGAAATTGACAGATAATACATTTTTATGTTGTGGCTCTTTAAAACATGAGTTATACATAACTTAAAAATATAACTATATATAGAGAGTATTATTATATAGAGAGAGAGAGAGAGAGAGAGAGAGAGAGAGAGAGATGAATATTATAAAGAATATTCAATATTCGTTTTATTACTTCTACAAAAAAAGAAAAAAGATTACACTGTTTCTTTTTAATACTTTAATTATTTTTGACAATGTTAAACTTATTTGACCATAATCAGAATATTTATTCTAATTACTTACATTCAAATTTGAATTCGCAATTCTGTGTTCTGTTTGCTTTAAATTTAGCAACTGAATTTGAAATTTTTTTTTTTTTTACACAACCCGGCTAAGGACTGAAAAAAATGGTACTAGTGGAGTTAAAAAAAAGGAGTTATTTTGGTTGCAATTTAGATGAATATTATAAAGAATATTCAATATTCGTTTTATTACTTCTACAAAAAAAGAAAAAAGATTACACTGTTTCTTTCTTTTTAATAAATTATTTTTGACAATGTTAAACTTATTTGACCATAATCAGAATATTTATTCTAATTACTTACATTCAAATTTGAATTCGCAATTCTGTGTTCTGTTTGCTTTAAATTTAGCAACTGAATTTGAAATTTTTTTTTTTTTACACAACCCGGCTAAGGACTGAAAAAAATGGTACTAGTGGAGTTAAAAAAAAAGAGTTATTTTGGTTGCAATTTCATCAAATTCTGTTTGTAAATGTTCTGTTTGTAAAGTACTATTCATACTTTATTTGAAAGTTATACACTGTAAAAAATGATTGTGATTTTAACAGTAAAAAGTGTAAAAATGCTACAGTAAAAACCTGTTAACTGGTTAACAGTAAGTTTCCATACTATATTTGGTGAATAAATGTAATTACATTTAATGTAATTTTACAGTAAAATACTGTTAAAAATACGTTTTTGGAAGTGAAAAAGAAAAAGTCATTGTATAATTTACAGTGAAAAAAACGTAAATTGACACTCCCAGAATTCCCTGCATGACAATTCATATTTGATGTGTGTGTCACCATGATGGGGTTTAGTGTTTGTGTGAAACACTGTGTGCACCTTCTATATAAAAGTATTGCCCTCCGCAGCGTGTAGAAAAGCTGTTTGTGGTGAGCTTTGGTTCATTATGTGACTTTCTCATCACCACCAGTTTTTGGTGGTTATCAGTGCATTACAATGGTTCAAAACAGATATTAACACTTCAATATGTTGGTTTATTAACATTACATCAGTTAATGAAATACGGTATTTTATTGTGAATTTAAGTTAAGTCTGTAAAACCTAAAATGTTGCTACCATATTTTTTACGGTGAAGTTCTGGCAACCACAGCTGCCGGTATTTTACCGTAAATGTCACAGATTTTTTTTTACAGTGTAGGGAAGTGAAAAAAGGAGGTGTCAGCAGACGTCAAAGTGAGCGTTCGACCGTTTTACCATCTGCTCCAACATGACACAAATTTACACTCATAATCAATCAAGAGGAAACATAGATGTCATCATTCTCAAGATGTTTGATGTGGAGATTGTGTAAACATTCAGATATTTTAACATCGATCATGTGA